GTCATGTTTCTATTGGTTCAATTTCATTTCCATACGTCAATTTGAAAAAAAATACAGGTTTCTGTAGGTACATAGGAAGTTATCATAAGCTGTTGATAGAGGGCAGCACTTTCAAGAGGGCGTTCAAAAAAATTAATTGGAGCACAGATTTTAAACAAATTTTTCATTTTCTACTAGCAGTAGTAAAAAAAATTCTATATATTCCTCGGTAGAGAAAGTCATTATATACCTCACTCATTATAAACCTCGGCGCGAGCGCCTCGGTTTATAAAAGCGCTCGGTATATAAGGACCAACTTCTCTACCTAGGTATATAATATACTATTTTTTTTTTTTGTCTTTTTTTGGTTTTCTCTCATTGTTGGTGATTTAAAGTATTTATTAGGATTTTCATATTTTTATAATAATAGTATATTGTTGTATTAGGAGTAGAAGCTTTACTTTTTTGTGCTAAAGCAGTAGGTTTGCGAGCCGAACGTAGTGAGGCTTGCAATACTGCTGAAGCACAAAAAAGTGCTTCTACTCCGTATGCAACACGCTATTTTTTCTCCAAACTAATGGGGTAAGCTCGGGGGCAAGTGGATGGTTGGGCGGCAGTAAAAGTACGAGCGGCACTAATAGTTATTTATGCACCGAGGTCAAAAAGTACAGCGTTAACGCCCGCAGCGTGTGTAACAGCCTGAGGCGGCAGCCGAGGGCTGTTTACACGCTGAGGGCGTTAAAGCTCTTTTTGACTGAGGTGCATACAAGATTTTATGCACGATGAGCATGTTTTCATTTTGATATTTAAAAAATTATATATTTTCAATTTTGTAATGACATCAATCAAAAATATTTCAAAATATAAATTTTCATCTTTACCGCAATAGATCCTAAGTTTTTGTCAAATTTAGATCAAGGAAGCAGTTGTTGACAAAAGTATCACGTAACTATTATAGCAACCCAAAACAATACAAACAAATAATTATGTGCTGTGTAGTGTACGTGTATGGTATTCTTATGATGGTAGTGCGTCTGAAAATGGAGCAAAATAGCATGCCCAAGTTTATTCTTGAGGCAGTTGAAGAGGCCAAGAAACATGTATACCTTCAAAGTCCAAAAGGCTCTATGAAAAAACATATGAGGACTTTATTTCCTGATGTGCCCAACATAGTGTAAATGAGCAGCAGTACTTTGTAGAAGAAACTTTCCTGACCTGGCATATACATTAATATGAAAAATGCAAAAAAAATAAGCCATCCACCCTATGGAGCTTTTACTCAATGTTGAAGGCATCAGTTCTTTTGTGTATTTCTGTGGAAAAGGGTCGGTTTTAAAAGTTAAAAACTGTAAAAATTGTATTTTCAATTTCAAAGTAGATTGAATTTTACCATTATTGCTTATTTCATTATTCTTATTAATTGAAATAAAGCTTGTTTTGTTGAAAAAAGTTGGTATTTTTTGGACTAAGCAATAGAAATACAAAAAGTTTAAAAAAAAATGACGAATTTTTGTTTATTTTTGAAACTTTCAGGCCCGCGGGCACAAAAGGCGCCCTAGGACGTAAAAGTACTATTTCACGCTTTAAAATGCGGGCGTAAAAGTGCACTTTTACGCCCGTTCGTGCATAATAGCTATTTATACAATAAGTTACGAAATGAGCGTCTTTTAGGCACGCGACGTGAAAATTGTCCAACGAGGCAAAGCCGAGTTGGACAACACGTCGAGTGACTAAAAGACATCGTTTCGTAACGTATTGTATACAAGATTTTTTCTACTGGCATTTTATAATAAAAAAACACAATTTTATTTTATGTGAATAAGTCGATTACACCCAAAATCTTTGTTACCTGCTTTTACTTGACACCTGACACTTTTCATGCGATTTTCTTTTCAAAATTCGACATCAATAATTAAAATCCTAGAAAGTAGGTAATGACACAAACTTCTGTTTTGAGTAACCCAAACGTTCAATTCAGTAATTCCATTTTCAATATTCATAATAAATACAAAACAAAATTCAAATATGTGTTTAGTGTGTTTTTTATTTCTGAATAATGAATGACACTTTTAGGCACTAGTGCTTAAAAATTACTTTTACGCACTCATAAGTCACTTTTACGCATTCAAAAGTCACTTTTACGCACTGAGTGCCTAAAAGTAACTTTCACGCACTCAGTGCCTAAAAGAATGTCGTTTCAAAACTGAAATGACAATCGAAAAGTTGCTATTATGAAACGTCAGTAGAAAAAAGTACTTTTGCTGTCGCTGGGGTTGCCAAGCAGCATAGAAATTAAACTTCTACCACCTCGACAGGTGTTAACCTGCTGGATTTACCTAGCAGCATAGAAATTAAATTTCTGACATCTTGACAGGGGTTAACAAAGTGACGTTTTTTTGATGTTTGGAGAAAAATTATGTTTTTCTCCAAACCTCAAAAAAACGTCACTTTGTCAGCACCTGTCAAGATGTTAGAAATTTAATTTCTATGCTGGTAGGCGAATCCAGCGGGTTAACACCTGTCGAGGTGGTAGAAATTTAATATCTATTCTGCTAGGCAACCGCAGCGGCAGTAGAAGTACTTTTAGTGCCGCTGGAGCGGCAGCAAAAGTACTTTTAGTGCCGCTCGTACTTTTACTGCCGCTTAACCATTCAGTTGCCCCCGAGCTTACCCCATTCGTTTGGATAAAAAATAGCGTGTTGCATACGGAGTAGAAGCACTTTTTTGTGCTTCAGCAGTATTGCAAGCCTCACTACGTTCGGCTCGCAAACCTTCTGCTTCAGCCCAAAAAAGTAAAGCTTCTACTCCTAATACAACAATATACTATTTTAATAGTATTCTGCTTTGCCTGTAACTGTAAGTTTTTGACAATAAAGCATATTTGGGATTTGATTTCATTTGACATTATGCTTTTTCTCAGAGGTTTTTTGTGCTTCTGCATAATTCGTTAAATTGGAACACGGTCGTTTAATTGTTAATTTTTTTTTTTTTTTGATCCAGTTGCAGCCGAAACATGCCTCTGTTTATTCTTAATGTGCCTGAATGCTCCACGTAGATCCCTACTTCTGGTTTGTGGATGGTGTAGTTTGCTACTGGCGGGTATAAACATCACGCACGTCATTAACATTGATATGTGAGGTAGTTTCATTTTCCTTTTCCGCTTTCTGTGAATGCTAGTTGAAGTATTTGTTTGAATAAATTTGTTTGCTCCCGCTTTATTCTCGACTTTTTTGTCATTTTCCTGCTCTTGCTCGAGTGTCAGCAAACTTGTTACTGCCCTTTTGACCTCAAGGTTATCTTGTTTTTTTATTGATACACGTACCATTCCGTCTGGGCTTGGATGTTCTTCTGTCATTCTTCTCAAGGGCTATCCTTTATAAGCACTATTGCGCCATTCCTTAAGTTTTCCATTTGTATCTCATCTGGAGCCGATTAAGATTATCCGTTGACCTTTTTTTCCAGAAATCAAATAGGTATCTCTTCATTTTTTGTGCCAATTTCCATCTCTGATTGTGACTTGCGTTTATTTCTGTGCTGATTGGTTCAGCCAACGGTGCTAGCATCGATCTTCCAACTAGAAAGAACCCTGGAGTCAGAACCATTTTATCATTTGTATAAGATTTTCACACTATATTTAGGATGACGTCACATTTAGTAAATTTCTGCTGCCAACCTAACAAAAATGAAAGTACTTTTCAACGCATTCAAAGTAGGAGAATTTCAAAAGTTTTTTGTTGACAACGTGTCACTTGACAAACATTTTAATTTCGTTATTTTTAGCTGTCGTCGAAATTATTGTACATGACATTCTGGTAAAGTATAAGAAAAAGAAATATGCATTGACAACATTGTCTGTCCTTGTTCGATGACGTCATCCTAAATATAACATAAAAAAAACCTATATCTTCTGTTAGTGCACACAACGGCCCTGAGTTAAAACAGGCTTCATAGGTTAATGTCGTATCTCCCATATTTCATTGACTTCACTCCAGCTTTCCATATTCTTCCAAAATGCGGCGATGATGGTGGTATGAAATGCATTCTGGCCCATCATATTGATTTGAGCTTGGGTTTCTGGATTCTCCGTCATTTGTTTCACTTCCTGTTTCAACTGATTGCGTCCACAAAAAAAATTCCATTGTCACTATGAGTATACAGAGTCTTTGATTATATTTAAGCAGATACCTACAGCCTTTACTTGAATGTTTTATTCATGAGGATTTCAGGAGATATCACATAAAATTTCTTTGCAATTTATTTATAATTTAAGCTAAGATATGTCAAAGATGGCTCACGCAAATGTAATCAATATTAACGTTGAAAGATAATAGCAAACTTCCAAGTTTTGTATATAATTTTTTTTTCTAATCATAAATAGTAAAGGCTGTAGGAATGGGCTCAAATAGCTGTAGGTATGGGCTTAAGTATAATCAAAAACCCTGTACATGTGACTGCAGTGCCATCTTTGTGCTGCGAATCTTCTGAATGCCGCTAGAAATGTGTCTGACGTCATGTCTCTTACCACTTCTAGGTGTATTGCCTCTATAAATAGGCACACAAATAAGGCTATATACCTATCCTTTATATGACTTTGACCTCTTCCCTCTTGTATAAGGCCGGCATATTCTACGCCAGTGTGAGAGAAGGGCGGCTACAGTGTCACTCGTTCTACTGGTAGATTTCCTATTTGTTGATTGTTGTTTGTAGTGAAGACATTTCACGCCTTTATTTATATTGAAGTTTACTACCTTTTTTGCATCAATGAGTCAGAACTTTTCTCATATGTGTGCGAGTGTCATTTGGTTTACTCCATGAAGTGTTTTTTTTTTATGCGAATGGCGAATTATTAAGCCTGTCAAGTGATTTTTGTGGGTCAGAATTATTAAATGTTTCTGGTCATTGGATACTTCCACCTTCCACCAATGTAAATATTGCTCGTTGTTTTAGGATTCTTATAGTTATCTCATTATTCTCATTCGAGTTAAGGTTATTTATTGTCCCATTGAAATATTTATTTCTAGCAATAATGGCTCCGGAAGGCTATCTGGTACCAGTGATTTCAAGGAGAAAGATGATTATTTAACTTTATCACAAGTGAGAGTAAGTCTGTGATATCTTGTAACGGTTTATGATATCGCTTAACCATCCATTCATAACATATATGCTCAAAGCGTCGGAGACGCCACTGAATTATGAAAGGTTTATTAGAAAAGATCAGAATAGTAAAATTTATTTCAATTGAAAGGCCCAGAAAAAATACCACTCGATCTATATAAAATTTAAATGAAATTTCAACATAAAAACTAAATCCCTTTTGTATTCTACTAGTGAAGCCGAAACAGCGTTTAAGTTACAGTTTTGAGCTTTTTCAAACAAACCGATGGAAATCTTTACCTATACAAAGATGCTTTGAGTATCCGCGAAAAAGAATACATTTTACAGAACTTTCCACCCGCCTCGGGCATAAAGGAGTCCGTAAAATGGGAGAAAGCATTTTCTTGTTGGAATTTAAAAATACCGTCTCGCACAATTTATTCATACCCTTTTCTAGATCACGTAGTTTATTTCGGGGTAGTACTACGAGCTTTTCGAACTGCAATTTCGGTATTTACATTTCGAAGTTGATTGTTGTTGAGGTCAAAGAGAAGAGATTCTAAAATGCGATATGCTTGTTGATTTAAAAATAATTGAGGCGCTTGAATGAAGAATTTTCTCTTACTGCTGTTATTTTTATGTAAAAAAAAATAATAATAAAAAAAGTATGATTGCAATCTCTAAATCGCTTAGGTGTGGTTCAAAATCTTTAAATTTGTCAAAAAAAAATCAAAGTGAAAATAATCGTTTCTGTTCGCTTAACTTCTTCTTTGGTGCACTATCCATCCAGATTACACAACTTTTTTGGCTGTCCGGTAACGTAATTTCAATTTTTACGCGGTAGAAATTCTCTTTTAATTTTAGAGAAGCGGGTGCGGATTCTTCTCGAATACTGCGCGCATGCAACTCTTATGGGCTAGCGAACAGGTTTTTCCGCGGTAAATAAAAATAAACAGTACTAAACATATAAATTATATCATTAATTAATTTGTATCATGCGTATATGTTCAAAAAATGCATCATAGCGAAAAAGCTTCATAAGGATTCTGCAAATCATTGAAAATATTTATTAAGAGTGGTTGCTGTAATTTTTCTGAGACTTGTTTCAAACTTGAGCTTTTATTCCTATCAAATCCGTATGACCGGAAATAGTGCTCTACTAAGAAAACTGTTTCTTAAGTTGAAAGATACATAATGACGAAGATTTTAACCTTAACTTAACGTCAACCTCTTAAATAATGCCAAGTAAGCGAAGTATGATAAATGCAACTTGCGTGCGCAATTACTCAGAGCTCTAGACTTCAGTACTGTTTATTTTGGCGGATACCGTACTTATTTTTAAACTTAAATATTAAGAGGGTTGTGAATAATAGGACATCGGTCAATCAATAGTTTCATTAGCTCTTTTTACAAAGTTCTAGCTTTCGGAAATTTTTGCTCTTTCTTCAAATTCTTAAAAAGAATATAAAATTAATAAAAAATGGATATAAAATAAATAAAAAATTAAATAAAAATTTATTATATTTTTTGTTTTACTATACCTTGCAGTGAGTTTGTGATCTGATCTTGTTTTATGTTTAAATTTTTCAATGATAAAAAGTATAAACTTTTGTATTGTCCAGAGATACTAAATAGGAATAGATTATACTCAAATTATTAATTTCTGTTCTTTCACTTATTGATTTTTTTTTGTTTTTGTATTTCCGTCATTTTTAAAAATAATCGTTTATTTAAATTTATTTTTGTTTGTGAAATTTTTATGCTACTGTAATTAGGTCGATGCCCAGTATCAAAGGAATGTTTAGCAATAGCACATGTTTAATTTTTGCAATCCTATGTGATTTTTATGTCCAGACATTCTGTTTTTTATAGTTTGTGAAGTTTGACCTAGGTATGTAAAGTCTGTTTTTTTTTTTAAAGATAAAAGTCAAAATTACATTCTTTTGGCAATACAATGTAAAATTGTCAATGCTTTCAAATTTTTTATGTGGAAAAGGCTTGTGTTTCCAACAAAGTTACTAAATTTTTGACTTGGGGTATTATCTTTAAAAAAAAAACATACTTTAGATCTTATCACAATTTGTAGAAGGTAATTCTTAAACAAAATAAGTTTTTAATTCCATTGGATCTTTATCTTTTAGTTTTGTATTCAAATTACCAATTATTTTTATGATTTTAAAAGAAATTTAGATTGACACAAACAATTTGTAAAGCCGGTCCTACACGATGCGTCCAACGTTGGCTCCAACGTTAGAACTAATGTTTTGACACACTACAATTGGCAAGTGTGTCTCCCACACGATGAGGTGAATTTTCAAGTTCCAACATTGGACGCATGTTGGTGCTAACGTTGTCAATCTATGTTCATTGTCGTAGGTAGTCATATTTCGCGAAAAAATTGTTCAACAGAAAAAAATAATATGTACCTATTAAAAATGGAAGATGAAGACATAACCATTACTGGTATTGCTGCAGGCATGATAGTTTTAGTTTGTGCAAAATTATTACATCATTTAGATCATTTCTATCCTTGTGTCCCTCATGTTTGGGATTCCATAGAATAGGATATGTTTCTCATACAGTTGAATAAATTCAAGAATAAGTTCATTATTCCACTCCATTATTAATCTACAATTAGAAAACTTTGTTGCTACACTGATTCTATAATAAATGCGACAAACACATGATCCCTCGTGTAGGCGTGTGACGAACGATGGTTCCAACGTTGGAAGTTCCTTTGACGCGGGTAAATTTTACCGACAAGAGCCCGAATGTGTCATGTGGCCAACGTTGGACACATGCAATTCCCAAGTGCACGCCCACACGGTGTGTCAAATGGCGATGTCTCCAACGTTGGAAGGCATTTGCCACATCGTGTGGGACCGGCTTAATTTGAATACAAAACTAAAAGATAAAGATCCAATAGAATTAAAAACTAAAGTTGTTTGTTATGAAATACCTTGTACAAATTGTGATAAGATCTGCATAGGTCAAACTTCACAAACTATAAAAAAACAGAATGTCTGGACATAAAAGTGACAGAAGATTGCAAAAAGAAACAAGTGCTATTACTAAACATTCCTTTGATACTGGACATCGACCTAACTATAGTAACATAAAAAATTTACAAACAGAAACAAATTTGAATAGACGATTATTTTTAGAAATGTCGGAAATACAAAAACATAGCTATTTTTGAACTGGCAACAGTGTTAATAGAGTATATTTTGGTTTCCAGTTGATAGCTAATTTGATTGATTAAATATTAAAAATAAATAGAAAAATTTGTTCAACATAATAAGCACAATTTTCTTCAACTAACAACATAATAATTGTACGTAAGTACAAGAGTTTTTTTCCGCAAAACGTGTGCCTTGTTATCACAAATTGAAGGTCAGTGCGGTGACGATTTTCGATCAGTGTTGCCGGCTCAGGAATAGTGAATGCCCGTAAAGGAAATTTGTGACTTGTGTAATAAAATTGTTAAGGAGGATGATGAAGGCCTTCTTTGTGATGGATGCTCGATCTGGAAACATAGAGCATGTGCTGCTATACCAATTAGAACCTACCAAAAATGTGCAAGTCAAAAGATGATTGGTACTGCATCGGGTGTCAGAATAAAGGTGGCTCTTCTGGCTCTAACTCAAACCAACCAAAATTTACACTTAATGATGTAATGGCCAAGCTGGAGGAGATGGACAGGAAACATAATATTTAAGTTAGGTAAAGGTTAAGTTAGGGTAAATGATTATTTAAAGTCAGAAATTGAACAACTAAAATGTCAGATAAATAAAGAAGTGAAGACAGAAGTCGCTCAACAACAACATAATAATTCATGGAATCCCATTTAAAAAAAATTAAAATTTGAAAAATCTTGTGGAAAAAGTTGGAGATGAACTTCAAGTGAATCTAGTAGGCCAATGTTTTGAAGCTATAAGGTTTGGAAGAAGCGAGGAAAAGCCAAGCACAATAAAAATATGCTTTGATAAAAATGAAGTTAAGGAAAAACTGCTGAAAGCGCCAAATAAATATACCTTAAACACTCAATGCTTGGAATTTACAGAAAACAGTAGGATCTACTTAAACCATGACCTCACTTAATATAACTTGGAACTTTTTAGAAAAGCACGACTTTAAGAAAGAAAATGAATATAAGTATCTTTGGATTAGTAATCGCAGCTTGTTTTTGAGGAAGCAGGAAAATAGCAGAGTAATACTAGTGAGAAATGAAGATGATTTAAAAAACTATCAAAAACCGTTCTCAATATGATTTATACTAATATGCAAGGCTTACGTAATAAACTTGATGAAGTACAATGCTTAGCAGCCACTTACAGTTATGATGTTATTCTTCTTACTGAAGCCTGGCTGTTGGAGGACGAAGCTTTCTTATTCAAAATAAATGGGTACGAATAAATTCATGCATGCAGACAAAAAAGAGGAGGAGGAGTGGCAGCATATATAAAAAGTGGCATTCAATTTAAGGAACTTTCAAGATCAGAGAAAGGAGACATCATGAGGTGGGTAAGCATTTCCCTGGGAAGCATTAATCTTAGTTTAGTTTATCGTCCTCCTTCTACAGTATTTGATAATCTGCTTGAATGTATGGAGAATCTCATGAGTAGATATCCAAGAAACCATGTCATTGTAGCTGACTTTAATGTGGACCTTTTAGTGAACACGGCTACAGTTAGTAGTTATAAAAATCTTTTAGCCCTCAATAATTTTTATGTTTGTAATAGTTGGTGAGCTGGCGTCAAAAACATGCAAGAGTTTTCTCAAGGCTGATATTTTCAAAATAGGTCAGACTTTAGTGTTGTACAGTCAGTACTCACAGTTCCAGGACAGCTGGCCCTGGGACGCGGGCAAAGTTGTAATTTTAAGAAGCATCTAAACTGTTTCCTCAAAGCTCAAAATTTATAGAAATTTTGCACATTATCTGTTTGAAGGTCACAGATAACATATGTAAATCGTCAGACATCTAGTTCGTTGCAAAAAGGGGGTCA